TGTGTTCGTACTCATTTCTCAAATTTTTATTTATTAATAAAGTGCATACTTAGTTATACAGTATTGAACAATAATTCAAGCAGACTAAATAATTTAATAATACTCGTCATTTTTATTCTAGCCATACCGTAACTAGAGAATATTTACAACGTCCTATATGCGATGCATTTTGTTCATATTGCATCAATTCCAGCTTAGAATGTTCTTAAAAATTAGTTTTTTCAATAAATCGAACGGAATTTTACCATTCTTGAATGATAGGACATGGCCGATCCATAACAAAGTTTAATAAATTTTTAGGTACTATGTATATTGGATTCTTTTAAATTACAAAGGTGGGTTCAAGTGGAAAATCTCAATAAGAATATATTCCATACCTATTATCAAACAAATGTGATGATTATAACTTCAGTTATTTCATGTACTATGGAGTTAATCAATAGACACTCTAAAAGTGATGGCTTCATTCTTTTATTTTCCTTACCAACATCTACTTCCTTAATGACGACTATATCTTAATATATACCTCTTTTCGATTTTGGTTTTTTTGCATGAAGTTTACTTGTCGTTCATTTCGATCGTGTTGTCGCAACATGTACTATGAATTTTAAGATCCTGAAAATTGATGAAAAATAATAAGAAATACTCTAGAGCATGCAACTTGAACGAGAGCTATTGACTTACTTCAATAAGTTAAAAGTCTAAAAACATCAAATATAACAGTTAACTCATCGATATCTTTTATTACTTTGCATAGGCGGCGGAGCGTTTTGAATCGAGGGTAGGCTCAATATTTTTATACGAGCCTTACTGACAGGTTAAAGATAGAGAGGGTCATTTTTTATGCTATGTGATTCAAATAAAATACAATCAATATTATTTATTTCGAACTCAAATTTTTTAATGCATAACATTAGCACAGATCAGAGATGAGTTTGCAACTTGTGGCAAAAAACTTGTATTCAAAGAGTTACTTAAACTTTTGTTTTCATTAAATAGTGACCCTCAAATATAGTCCATCGGACGCAAAATTTTAGGATCCGAAGCCGCATTCGTAGTGCTCGTACTCTCAATGCAAGGTTTTTACTCTCAATTTGATAATTATTTCAAAGATGCTACATTGTTTTTATTAATTTTTCGGACAACCAGCACACCCTACACATTTTTCAAACAATTTTGACGATAATCTCGTAATAACCAAGTTTTAACTAGTTCTTACGTGCTGCTAGAGCCTATCAGGTCTGAATTCGAGAATTTGTGCCTGGATCCAGATCTGACTCTAGTCAACAGAGAAATTTCAAACCCAGGCTCAGAACTAGAGTTGGTTAGATTCTGAACCTATCTCAGGAGCTGCACATTGGAAAGAGTTTTTGATTTGTATTAGTGCAAACTAGAATTATGGCGACGTAGCAGTGCTCACAGAAAAGGAATCTCATTGTGGGTTTGTTCAGCGTGTTAAAAATGTTTGATTGGCATCTGAGAGTAACTGCAGAAAGGCGAGAGAATTTTGACATCATCCAGCAGATATGATTGTAAGTAACCTGTAAGATGATTCTTCATTTGTAACAAAAGAGCATAACGTGAACTCATTATCAATGTACGTTGCAACACTTAGTCATACGAAACTCAGTTTTTTCCCTAAAAATGTTAGCAGCTACCGCTGATGGCAGCAAAAACTTTCGAGCAGTACGCAAGTTTTTTAATCTGATGGAGTAAGAAGCAAATGTTTGAGTCTCTCTTAGCCTATGAAACTTGAATCTTGATGAGCTTTCGCCTACTCAGCCATTGTGGCCTCGTCGCCTATGGTTGGTAGCAGATACAGAATAAACTGATCTTGTAATAATATATCATGCGTTATAAGCAAACGAAAATTTAGCAATAATATAACATTTTTATGTAGAATGGAGTGTATGAACGTCTTTTTAGATACTCAGTCTAGGTAGGGCTATGTCTACCCAGGCCTAATGGCTTCGCCGCCTATGACTGACACTGACTCTATAACGACGTATCATCTGTCAGAAAAATTGGAAAACTAGACAATAATAGAAAACCTTCACATTTAATAGATCCTACAAAAGTCTTGCTCTGTCCAAGCTTGAGCCTACTGAAGCTTACCCTCAGCCAATCTAGGGTGAACGTGAGCCTACCCAGGCCTAATGGCTCCACCGTCTATGGAAGAGTACTGTTCTTTAATTACTTACAATTCAAACGTTGTTTTGAATAGAAGTTTAGAACAAAAGTTAAATTATCTTATATTGAAAATAAAAAAATTCGACGTAAATATAGATGTCAACGAAACCAATCAGTATGTCATTGGGCACGAGTTTGTAATAATAAGATGTGAACTGACCTTGTAATAACGTGTCATCTGACAGAAGAACATGAAAATTATCTAATGTTAGAAAAATTTTACATTAAATCGAGCCTAGTCAAGCCTTTATCTGTACTGGTTCGAGCCTACCCAAGCGTTTATCTGAGCCTACCCAAGCCTTTACCTGAGCCTACCCAAGCCTACTCTCCTCCAATGTAGGGTAGGCTCGTGCCTACCCAGGCCTCGTGGCTCCGCCGCCTATGTTGCTTTGTCTGTTCTTTAGCTGTTTCATTTGCTACTATTATTGAACATACTATACTCGACTTCGACATGGACGAAGTAAATTGTGCTACATCTAGACCGCTTGAATAATATAACAGTACCTGAACCAACCAACAGAACGAAGAATCATCCTGTAACGTCTATACTTGACAATAACAGTGACTTTAAATGAGCTGTCGTCATCACCATCATCATCGTAAAAATAATCGTATGTGTCAATAAGACTGGTGCATTTGAAAATGTTTGTGCCACTCACGGCAAGTGTCACTTGGATATAGCCCTCTAATAATAGTGTTCTATGCTGTCATCAAAATGAAGAAATATTCGATACAGGGTGGCAATCAATTGTAAAAAATCAGCCTAAAAACTGCTTCAACACAATATTACGACACAGAAGAAGAGTATCTTTGGTTTCTTTGATTATCATGGAAACTGATTTTAATGATCGGTACTGTTCGCATACCATAGTTTAATGGTACTGACTTATTTTTACTAGACGAAATATGCACTTCGAGTGGCGAATATCAACTGATCAATTACAAAAAGAGATTATGTTGCTGAATTCGCCTGTTTCAAACTTGAGCATTTAGGCTGTCAAGTTGTTACCTCCCTGATGAGCCAGAAAACGCATGAAATATGTTTAGTGTTCATGCTCAACAGAACATATAGAAATCGATATCTGAGAGTTCAATTTGGCACAATTTAATAATTATAGTAACGATGATGGGTGTATGTGTCTGCGGTGAGGATTTCTTCTTCGCATATCCTCACACCCTCATCCCACAGTCAACATTTATCTCTTCGACCTCCTCATCTTCAAATTATTTTTATAAACGAAAGAAATATTTATCATAGAATGAGTATATGTAGAATGTACAATAGAGATTTGCAACTAATCTTATTTTTACACACATATTAGTTGTTGTCAAACACTGTCTTTGAAGTACGAAGCAAAGAAAAAGTGCAATTTGAGAATAACGATAAGAGAAGCGAAGATGACGGTAACAAGCATAAATAAGTGTATGAGTAATCCCTATATTTATTGTAAGAAATCATAGTCACAGTATTCTAACCTCGATTCTCCGTCAGTTCTCATTTTTTTCTTCCTGCAATATTGATTTTGTAAAGACGTTGACAATGAACAATTCCAGGAGTAAAACACGCTTACATACCATATTACTTGTTATTATTGTTTTTATTTCGGTAATAATAATTGCTCTGGTAGCAACCATATTAGATCTGGTAAAGAGCCAGAAAAATTCAAGCCAAGTGAATGACATATTACATCGACGACAGCAATCTCCTTGACGTCTACTGCTAGCATAGACAATACATCAACATCAACGTTCATAGTAGCAATACATCTATTGGATACCATCAAGATAAGTCACTTAATGTTTCATCCGAATGAATTAAAAATAATTGCTGATAACAACACCAAGACGCGCTCTCTTGGAACTACTGGTTTTAAAGCCACGCTGGACTATATAAAAGCACAATTAAGATCAAAGACCAATTTTCAGATATTTAGGCAAGAGTTCATTGTACCTGTACGGGTACATTGTAATCCCATCCTAACTTCCACAATTGATAATGTTGATAAAATTATACATACGATACGGACTTTCGTGAGATATTATTTTCACCAGCGGCCAATTTTGTCAAGTCTATTCGTCTTACTGTAGTACCGAACTTTGGTTGTGGCGATGATGATTGGCAAAATACCACATCGCATTCAGCTACGGGAATTGTTGTACTTATTGTATATGATAAAACCAACTGTTCTATAGCAGAAAAAAGTATTTTGGGACAATAATACAATATTAGTGGTCTTCTGGTATATAATAATGATAGCAATGTTACATATCTACCATTTGTTGTTGTCTCTAAGAATATAACTTATCCGGCTATGGTTCTCTTATATCAATTAGGTGTACAACTAGTGAAAGTAACACAAAATCATTCAATAACTAATCCAAGCGTTCGCCTATTTATTTCGCTTGAAAATACAATTATAGTACCAACGTCATCGGAATACCTATGCGCTGACACACCAACTGGAAACAGAAACCATACAATAGTCATCGAAAGTCATAGTGATAGTGTCGAAAATAGTTCAGAAATCAATGATAATGGTACATTATTTAACGTTGACATATTGAATTTTGAATAGACTCTTTTGTTATATACAGGTAGTGGTGCAATGGCAACTCTTGTATTGGCGCTGAATTTAGCTCATCTATTTCAAGTATCATCCTATGAAAAATAGTTGTATCACATTCGATTCTGTTGGTGGGGTGCCGAAGAAAATAACATGTTCGGATCATATCATCATGTTGACGAAGCCAACATTACAACCGTTGAAGGTAACCGTTTGCAAGACTACGTGCTGGTATTAAATTTCGATATGTTTGCTTCGCCCAACTATTATTTTGGTATTTATGAAGCTACCTCACTTCCAGATACAATATCTTCAAAAGTAAAAAATGCCTCAGACAGAATTTCACAAGTATTTCGCCATTGGTTTGATAAAGAAGGTCTACCATGGGATAATAGTTCTCCTATCCTGAGTGATTATGTTCCGTTTCTGTTCGCGGGTATTCCATGTGGTGGCACATTCTCCGGAGCCGACAGTATTAAAACACTTGAGCAACGGGATCGGTATGATAGAATGTTAGGTCACGGGTACGGTGGTATTGCTGGTGTAAAATTTGATCCATGTTATCATCAAGCATGTGATACAATATAAAATATCAACCCATTCGGCTATGAAACGATGGTGAAATCAGTTGCCTATGTATTAGAAACGCTTGCTCGTATATCGAATTTGAATCTGTGGTTGTATGGATGAATCGTATATCCGCTATATGAATGAGCAGTCAAAACTTGAAAAACAATGAAACCGTTCAAAGTAAAAAAAACTAAACCGATAATTCGATAGAGCATGCTTGAAAATCTAAAAAGAAACAAAAATATTTTTGACGCACTTTGTTTAGAAATAAACCTACCATCAACTGAATAGCTTTCTTAAGGCCCCCTCCCCCCTCCAAAATCGATCTCAGCCCAGAAACGTTCAAATGGGCTGAAATTTTGAGCATATATTGGGGCTGAAGTGGGGAGGCTGTGGTAAAATTTTCAGCTCGATTCGCGGGGATTTAACAGAGATATAAACCAAACAAGGATAAAAAATAGCTCATTTTGGTACAAGGATTTCTCAGTCCAGGCTGGGTAAATATATTTAAATTTCTTTTTGTTGAAAAGAGCGCGTCAAGATGCAGGTCACTATAGAGTCCTTTTTTTTAAATTCTTACTTTTTTAGCGAAAAAAGGGGATCACAAGTTCAATGACTCAAAAAAAGCACCAAAAATGAGTGTCTATGTGTGTACACCCAATAAAAAACAAGGCTTAATTAAAAAAAGGACTCTATGATGATCTGCATCTCGACGCGCTCTTTCAAACAAAAAAAAATTTAAATATGTTGGACGGACCCGGACTGAGAAATCCTTGTACCAAAATCAAAAAATCATAAATCGAGAAAAAGCGAAAAACATTTCTGGATATTTCAAAAAACCGCTGGTTTTTCAAAAACTGGTTCTCTGAAATTCTGGAATATTTCGGGAAAAAATGGAGGTTTTAGGAAAAATTTTTATTGATTTTGAAAGAGCAGACGACGGGCTATTTTCCTATGTATTTATCTCAATTTTGACAGTTCTCACGAAAATTGACTTTTTTTGAGAGGAGGGGGCGGGGGGGGGGCTTAACTTTGAAGCAACTATCTATCAATTGAAATGTTTTTCAATCAATATCAGCAACATCGAGAGTTTGTCTGTGTTTTTGGTTGATAGTGAGTAGCTACACCTCTATCATCCATAATGACCATTGATGCAGAATTAGAACCGATCCTGCCAGACCGAACCGGACCAAAACTTAAACCAGGCCGAACAGGGTCAGATTATTGCCAGTTCATTCTTACAAAATTGTTGTTTGTCATCAAGAATTTTCTCCATTGAAACGGCGTTTTTATGATATTTTCAAGTCATAGACATTTGTTTGCGAATGACTCAATAGATATCTTGTCTTCGACTTGACTATAAACGATTGATTGTTTTCTTTACATCTCTATTGATTTCTTTATTGTGCATCGGGTATGGCTATAAATGTGGGCGTGGGTCTGAGTGTGAGTGCGCTAGCTGTAGAGAAGACTCACAACTCACACCCACCTACCCTCACACACACTTTACACCCATATCCACATCCACACTCCACACCCATCTACACCCAATACTGATGTAAAAATATATTATGGGAAAGTGGATGAATATATTGGTTCATTAGATAAAAAGGTTCGTGAAAAATGTGTTATCAAATAGCAAGTTCACGACGATATCTTGAAATGTTTACTGTTATTAAAAGGTACATCATTTGATCCATATTCATCAACATTTGTTTATTGGATAAAGCACAAATTTATCTTAATAAAAAATAGCTGGTATTGAAATTATTGCTTGAATAAAATTTAAAAAAACCAATATGTGTTTATAAGACATTTTATAATGTCATAAGTGAAGCACATACTGTTGTTTTACATAGTGGTCGTGATAAGACCTATTTGGAATTAAGTTCTCAATATTCATGAATTTCTTAATATTGTATTAAAATATTCTTGAAACAATGTCTACCATATCAAATAAGAAAACCAATTAAACAACATGTCGCTTCAAAGTCGATTATTTCCTTAGGTGTAATGACATGACTCTAAATCGACGTCATTGACATGCGTACACAAGACTTGATAAAGTGTCAACTGATACTTTTTATTCTTGGATTTTAAATTGCATTGATCACTTTTAGTAAAGTTGCATGAACCTTTCCTTTCAGAAATAAATCTGCTAATGAAGTTGTAACAAAATTACGTGAACTATTTTTTTTTGGACCAACACATTTCCTTCGTAGTGATAACGGCTGTGAGTTTATTTGAAATGTTATTATAGAATTAAAAAATATTATTTCAGATTTGGTTTTTATCCATGAGAGATCAAGGCATCCACAAAGTTAAGGATACATCGAAAGGACAAGCGGGATTTTATGGGATACTCTCAGCAAATTGATGTGTACCAATGATTCGACAAGTTGGGCTTTTGCTGTAGCACCAATTATTTACGGTATTAATACAAGAACATCTACTGTAACCGAAACCACTCCACATCAAGTGATGTTCGGGCAAAAACCTTGTTCTAATTTTGATTTTTGAAAGTTAGCTAAGGGGAATGAGATTGAAGATGAAGAAAACTTATCGTCTTCATTTGTTGAATCAAATGATGCTTTAATTGATGATCAAGATGATAATTTAATTAATTTTAAGAAAGGTATTGATGCTGAAGTAGTTGATCTTGTTAATCAATCATCTGATGATGCTGTTTCTGGTTCATTAGTTAATACATCATCAACACTAAGATCGTCATCAATTATAGCAACAACATCAACAAAACATGGTTTGGTTCGTAAAATCGCAACAAATGATTATTTAACAACTACGAATAAAAAAAATGAAATTACATCAAGATAAATTAAATCTTATTGCTAATAGTTTTAATTTAAATGATTGTGTCGATATTGCAATTCACACGGTAGGTAGAACAAATACCGATTCAAAGTATGTGCCGTGTTTATGCATCGAAACAATTGGGAAAATGAATGTTATTTTTTTGAATAAATTAATATGTCAATATGGTATTTTAGAAAATACATTCGAAGCTGGACAATTTATTAATTTAAAAGATCCTTGATCTAGTAAATTAAAGTATAATTGACATTAGTACTTTGCAGTCAATCACCATCATTGAAGCTTCAAAACTATATTCTCGTAGTTCTACAAATGGACGTACTTGTAATTGTCAAGCGAAGCGTGAGACAAGAATATGTCCATGTAAAAAAAGCAAACGCTTTCTACTCGACCAAATATTATTTGCAAGAGGTGTCGGTGTTCAAATATGGACTAAATTAATTTAGGCCTTATATTGTGTTTACTAAATAAATATTATAAAATAAAAAAAAAAGATTTTGCTGGTACTGTAATTGTTTGTATTTCTTTATTAGTTCCTATCCATCAGAATAATATTTCAATTTCGTCTAGTCCAAATTAAAATTTTAATTATAACTCGGCACATTTTAAATTGGGTTGAATTTTAATTTTGGCTACAACATATATATGCTGGACTTTTCTCTTCCTTCTCTTCTGCTCTCTCTCATGTTGTTGTATGCATTTTAGTGTCATTGTTCATCGTTTATTCCATATTCCATTAAGAATTTTCCCCTTGTCATCATCCTATATATATATTCGTTAGGTTGTTGAACAGATGGGAGATAGATACAGTTATAGAAATAAAGTACAAACGGGATTAAGATCTCACACGTATGGCTGTATCTTAGCATGCATCTTGTCCTCCATTCACATTCATAGCCCCAGTCACAATCACACCCCACACCTACATCTATACTTAGTCTGTTACTATATTACAGAACCTAACGCATCACTGTTTCTTGATACTTTTCCTTTTATGAATTTTTTGAAAAAGATTAGATAAATAAAAGAATTTGAAGTTAGCAATAGTTTATGAACCTAATATCCCAACGATCAGTTTCCTTGGTAAACGTATTTCCATTCGTAGCCATATATTGTATGACCCATTGGAAGGATTTTCAACGGGTTGGAAAGTGCTGCTGATATAATTGTCGATGCAACTATCAAGTCCGATGCCAATTTTGTATCCGTTTTCGTTATTCGTCTCCTTTTTTGTATCACTATATTTTAAAGATAAATGGAAAAAAGACAGCCAATAGAGTCACAATTAATTTGTTCGAGTGAAACGCATGTTGTACCAGTATCAGCACCACACTCACTGGTCGATGGCATTTGTACACCCATCAATTAAATTTGTGCAACAGCTTCAGCATGTGTCATTTTGCAGTCAGTCAAATCGATCGCTGATGATTATTAAAAAGAACTTATTAGAGCTTCATTGTCCTTTCGAAAAACATTTCTCTCTTCTCCTATATGAAGCATTTTGATTTGTCAAAATTTTAAAAATCTATCCCATTATCACAATGAAACTTTATTTTAACTGAGTCTTCCTCATGGTTTGATACTGATATCTAACCTGTATTACCAACAATCGTTCCAAGCATCACCATCAAAAGAACCAAAGTTCGATACATAACGTTTATCGACAAAAATTTATGCAATACTCAACATATTTTCAGCCTTTTATTCTACTATAGCTGGGTTCACATTCAAGAGAGTTAGTGACTTATTTAAGCGTATGCTGATTTTACTTTTTGTTGCTTGATTTAATAACAAGAGAATGCTTGCATTGCTGATTCGTGAAATTTTATCGACACAAAAACAAGAACGATAAGTATAGGGAGTTACTTGCAGCAAACAATGAAAAAAAAGGAATGTTCAATAGTCCATGCGACAGAATGGATAATTTTGACAAACTGTTCTCCTATCTGAATTCATTTCATTAAATTTTTCACAAAGTGGTTCTAAATATATGCGCATATTCAGCTTTTTTCTCCATATAGTATGTGAGTTTGTGAATTTGATGATGTCGCATGAGTCCTGGAGATTGCTTATGGGTATAGGTATTGCTTCAAGTGTGTGGGTGCGAACACTGCGCAAATACGAATACAAATAGTATTCTGGGGAAGAAAGCCTAGAATGGGTGTGTTTTCTGATGACATAATAAAGTACACTCACGCTCACACTCTATATCCACACATACAATCACATTCACACTCACACCCACTCGAAGTTTTTTCTTCCACTACATGACAATATATGGATGATAGACAGAAGTATATGAATTCATGACAATCCAATTTATATTTATATTTGCGCATCTTAGATGAGTGCGAGACTGGCAATGTATATGAATGTAGGTCTAGGATGTGGGCTAGGATATGGAATGAGATTCCGGTATCATTGTTAGTGTCGGGCGTGGATGCAGATGCCAATTGTCAACGTGGAATGTGGGTAATGGGATATAGACGTACTTTTGTGATTGGTGAGCTAAACTAGGATGTTGGTACAGAGTGTGTGGGTCGTCATTGATGGGACTCTTAGATATGAATAGGGTTTGGATCTCCTGCTCACAGTCGCATCAACGCCTGCTTATAAACTTACATAATCAAACACAGCAAGATGCTTGATATCATTGCTTCTTAAGGTAGACATAAAATTTCGCTCTCCTGAGATTCAAGTCGATGCGTGGTAGTCAAACTCTAGCAATGTTCGTCTCACTTACATCTATAGTAGTTATTCATCATGAAAGCATTCCAACGACATGCGACACTCATAATTCGTGTCCATCGTCACATCGAGTGCACTGTTCTCACAGACAGAGAGTGTATCGTCATATTGAGATCGACTATGGACAGTTGATAGAGTTGAGAGTCTCATTGGAATGCATATTTTATCTCACTTTGTTTTGGAACTAATGCAAGCTACTACGTAACATGGTTTCTATGCTCAAGCACAAAGCTTCGGTGTCATAACTAGACTGCAGACCCTTAGCCGAACTGTGTTATACTGTGACACAAATCGTTTCAAGGTGGTACCACACATTGAAACATCAACAAGCTGCTTGTCTATACTAGTCAGTCATCATAATAGTGTACCACTGACGTGTGACACTGATGTTTCGCTTTCTCCCTGATGTTAAGCATTGTACAGCAGAGGATGTTCACACCCTTGATCACAATTGATGAGGTTAGTGTTGATGAGTATAATCAAGTGTCTTTTTGTTCATCATGTATTGTTGACAATTCTTCTGTCACCCTTTTTCGTTGTTTCAATATAGACTCTTGTTTTCCATCTAGCCTCTCATAGTTTCATGTGATGATTTTTCGTTCGGCATTCATCTTTCTTATTTTTAGTGCGATAATCGATTTCTTTGAGTCTGTTATATTGGACATTGTGTCAGTTCAGATGTTAGTTATTTTGGTGGAACTGATTATAGTAAAGCTTCACTTAAGTTGTTGTCATGAATCATTGTTTGAAGGACTATCTTCATAATAATTAGAAAGACATGAAGCGTTTTCACTTCTGTGGCATACATGACGATGCGTTCTTGGCTGCTATTATGTTTGCTCTTCGGTTTATAGTTTGTGTTCTTTTTGCGGTTTGCATATATTTTGCTTTAGAACATCGCTCATTTAATGCTAGTAAGTGAGGTTGTTCATCGTTCTTGTTTCGGTCATTGCCTGAGTAATGCATTTAGTCAACGTAACTTCCTTTTGTTATGTCCATTCATTGCTTTATTCAAATTTTTTTCTATCTCTCCTTTTCCTCACTGAATACATCAGAAAGACAATTATTATTATGAATCTTCTAAAGAAAACTTTCCTTTCGATCAGTCACTTCTTTCATATGACTTTATCCTGTACGCTTGTTTTTGTACGTTTTGGCTCCATACAAAGTTAAAGATGGACTCCATTCTGAATGATGAATAATTTGTGCTTAGCAGGTCAATGAAAGTAGTGGAACTGATGAATGACAAAGAATCTACTACTCATGCTGCACAAAATACAGATATTTTTCCCTTAACAATATTCAGCGTAAATAGTTTTGTTAGCAGAGAAATACTCGTGAAGCAAAAAAGAGAACAAGCAAGTCTGATAGGCGAGCTCAGTCAGAAAAAATGCCTTTGCTATATACTTATTGCTGTTTCGAATAAAACCAAACAAAGATTAAGAGATGTAGGCTATGGTATTGGTCTGATGCGAGACTACGTGTAAATTCGAATTGAGACGTGAGTATGAATAGGAGTGGAGAAGGTTTGGATCTTCTGCTCACAAATACAAACTGGAAAACACAATCAAAGCAACCACCAATATACAGTCCCTACATAGTCCCACACCACATCATCATGAAAACCCTTTTCTCTAGTGATGTGATATTAGTCGAACAAATTCGTAATGTTTCACAGTAATTGTACTAAATATGAAAATGCCACGATACAATTAAACTATTAAAGCCATAAAGTGAACCAACCATCCTTATATTCAATTCCAAATGAGTCCTCTACCAATAAATGAGTATTGTCAATCAACCATTGTCGAAGATTTTTCTTTGCTTCATCCGATGGTGAACCGTCGACACTTAACGAAGGAAGTTCTTTACTGTTCCAAAGTTTTAGGAATGCCAATGGAATCGAATCAATGGGTACAGTCGAATCTTTGGGAACAAGGACAAGATGATTAAGACGTCTAAATACTTGAGCGATGCGCTGTAGTGGATCCGATTCAATACTAACCCAGTCATAGATATCCAGACGAATGATTTGTTGCTCGAATAGATCACAAATAAATTTGTTATCAAGTAGAGTTATAAGACATTCGTAGTCAAGATATAAATAGTTGAGGTTTGGTGAAGCATTTACCAAGGCGAACAGTTCACATGTTCCAGACACCTGTAGCCTCTTGAGATATGGCAACCACAAGACACATTTTTCTGTGTCAGGCATCTTAGAAACTATGAAAAAAAAAGATGAAGTAATTGAATTCAATGACTGCTTTGTGAATAAACTAAAGAACTGTTTTTTATTTTCAAAAACTATAAGATGCATGGCTTTCTTTCCCTGATCATACTTGAGCATAGAGATAGATTTCGCTCAATAAAGAAGCAGAGCACTAGAAGACATTTGAAAGAAGTAAGAAATTCATTTAGCAACTTGAACGACTTTAATGTTATAAATTTGAATATCATTTATTTTTATCAAGCTATTTTTGTTCGAGTTTTCTTCAACAAATCTTACTTCTTTCCTAGCTTCCAATAACAAGTTAGCATCATTCATTTGGTCGTGTGAACACTATCTTGATGTAATTCAAACTAGTTCAGGTATTTTTCCTTTTTGCTGAAACAAATAAAAGAAACATACATAGCTATGGCTTTTAACGCATAGACTTTTATCTTTCGCGCCTTTCGCACATGAACGTGAGATATACTTTGGACAGATTTCTTTCATCTATATACTGACGGCTTTAGTTAGTGATGCTTAGTTAGACAAATACATACGAATTTCCGACTTGTTTTTAATATCAATTTCCAATGTTCGAAGTCGATGAAAGTGTTGTAATATCAAAAATATCTCCGTAAGCGATGTTGTATCGTAGATAGATAGATCTTCCACTTGCTGCATATATTTGCAGCCAGTTGACAATTGTTTTGCGATCGCTGCTGTTAGATTTACTGAACGTAAGTTACAAGGAATAGTGTAACATAAAATACGGCGTTCTACTTCATCCAGTAAATATTTGATCATGGGATGAGTTCTCCGTAATTCAGCTAATTCACCTGAGTCATTTTCTTGTTCAGATGAGTAATACCGAATGAAGAAATGAATTTGTTTAGTTGTAGGGGGTAAAACAATGACAATATTGTCATTATTGCTCAAACGTTTGTCCTTCGTGGGAAGATCGAGTGTTAGTTTCTGCAAAGAAGGCATCAGTCTAAGTACATTGATAAGCTCATCGAGTGTCCAAAAAAGATTGGTTGAATGTAACTCAAAATCAATGAGATGGACAAGAGACAATAGATTGTGGAATTCATTTCTATCAGTTGAACTTCCTGACACATCATTGAGATACACATGTAAACGATTCACATTTGGTACCAATTTGAGAAGATGAGGCAACATTTGACGTTGTGTCAAGTTGATTGTTAAATCTTTAATGTTCGGATAAGAAGTATTGTCATCATAATGAGATACATTTAAGTGAATCGAGTACTGATCGAACGATATCGATATGAGTTTCTTGTTATTAGCAGCTAAAATTTTGGGTAGTAATGTTTCTTGTGCACTACCTTTGAGGAACTGAATGTCCAGTTTGACGAGCTCCGAAAGATCCTGAAGAGTGTCCAGAAATGACATAAGTCTCTCACAAGTGAACCATTTAAGTACCAAATGTTGCAGGTTTGGAAAAGTATGTGATATCGGCGAACCAAAAAGAATAGCGAACGCTTTAGACGAAACCATTGTCTCCCAATTATCATTCAGCAACAGAAATCGAACAGAAGAACCTATCTGAGGCAAGATATGTGAGACGACATAGTCAAATTTCTGATAGATATAACCCGTTAAATACAAATAACGATAATAATCTGTTATTGTTCTAGTGAGACGAGCATTCAAGTTGAAAAAAGAATAGAGGACATCGACTCTACGAAGATATCGGCACACGCATAATATCATCTCGTCCGGCAACATCTCGAAAGTCGTCAAATGGACATTCATCTAAAACAATCATTATTCATGTAGATTTTGTTGTATGGTAATATGAGTATGATTCGAAACAATTCAGTTAACCATGCGTGTATGTATACTACAGCTGATATGTGAGAAAAAAAACAATCGGTATTTATTTGCTGTGTTTTTATTGCCTCGTACAATCATCGGCTTGTTTTCATCTACATAAGCTGTTGACAAATGGCAGGAAGAAGAAACGTGTCGAGATTAGACAAAACAGCCTCTTATTTGATTTCTATCAAACCTATCGATAGTTCGTTGTAGTTGTCGCTTCGAATCAATGAAGAAGAGAACCAGTCCAGAAGTTTTGATTGAATTATGCAAATTTTGAACCTAATAAACATAATCTACTGTACATTAATAGGACAAGAATGATGAATAGAACATTGTCAGGATCGACATCTATAGAATATATAGATGGACGATCCTTCATCTTCTTTTTCTATGTCTTCTCCTTTTGTAGTCATACATACCCAGTGTTGTTATTGCTTACAAAAAGGATTTTATGTTTATTACAAGAGTGATAACTATCCAATTGTTGTTTTTCTTCTTCTTCTGGTTATTTCCCATTTGTTCTTTCTTTTTTTTATTGCTTTTTTTTCTTTTTTTTGCGAAAGCTCAGGATCCACTTTATATATTTGTCTATAAGGTTAATACTGTGCAAAAGAACAGAAATGAAACGTGAGTGCAGATGTGGAAGTGTCCTGCAGCAAATATAAATCAGGGCTATTCTATCTTTTCTATTATCATGGTGATATATTGTTATTCTCATTCCAAGAAGGAGGATGAAAAGACCACACAACGAAAAAGAGTAATGTCACTCTGAAGAGCAAATCATGTTGAATACTTATAACAATGATACGTATACGAATATGTGAGAAAAGTTCCCATTCTTGCCAAATGACTCATTACTCATAGGTTATCACAATGTATTTCAGAAATTTTTGAAAATTTTCGAAGTTCGACAATAACAAGTTTGCATAAGCCTATCTGTTTAGTATTGATGAATACTATTATCGACGAGTTTTCATTTTGATATAAAATTTGCAATGAGTGTTACTCGAAATCCCACTGTAACTCTTCGGAAAAAAACATTTTTACGCACCATGTAAAGTCTTCGAAATCCTTTCCGAAATGCTTGATAAAATCACTATATCCAAGTGTACCATGTACAAAGAATACTTAGAAGCATTCATGGACATCTTCAGTGATTTTCGAAGTGAATGAAAGACTGTATAGAGGGATTTCTAACCATCGTCAATGTCTCGATGCGCTTATGAATAGTATATCCATGAATTTTTAAGAATCTTCAATTGTACTCGAAGCACATAAAAAATATATGAAAGGTTAATAACTGTTGACCATGGACTCTGAGATTTATGAAAAGCTAAAAATGAGCTGTTAATGTGCATCATCTTTGCTTTCGAAGCTTCATGACTAATTTAATGGCGGGTCAGTAACATCAATAATCGAATCAAAACCAGTCAAAAAAGGTTTCAAACTAGAAAACTTAAGTCTCACTCTTTTAATAGATCTTCGAAGTAATGAAGATAACGAAATAAAAAAAGAAAATCCAGTGTAGGTGTAAAAGTAAATGAAGAAAAAACTAATACCCATACCCACACTCTTCTTCAAACATCAAAATTAAAACTAGACAATTCTATTTTTGGGAGTATTACAAAAAAATTTCGATTTTCAACAACAAGTTTTGAAAGTAAATGCTTTCAACCATCCTTCGATTTTACGCCGGCAACTTTGCGTTTAGATCTATGTAAACTCTTACAGCCACATGTTTTGGAAAGCAAGTGATGCGTTGTTGAAATCCACCAGAATTGTTTGCCTCATTGCCAGCATCCTCAATTGTAATACGTTGCATAAATCGTGCAATGGCAATTTTGAACTCAAACAAAGCCAAATCTTGACCAATACATATCCGATGACCGCCACCAAATGGCATGTAGGCGTATGGAGTTGGATATTTGTCTTCGTCAAGGAATCGCTCAGGAAAGAATTTCATCGGATCGATCTTCCAATAGCGTGGGTCTCGGTGCATATTCTGTGTCGCAATTAAAAAAATGTCACCCTTTTTAACGATGATATCATTGATTAAATCATCACGTGTTGCTTGACGAACGATTGCGGCCGCAATCGGAGCATATCGTAGTATTTCTTTCATGACACATTCCACGTAGACCAACTCGTCTAAATCTTCGGGTGTAAGTATAGCATCCGAAGTTAAACCGTGCCGATGGAGTTCTTCTTTGATCTTCGCTTGTACATCTGGATGCTTTGACATTAAAAAAAAGAACCACGATAGTGCAGTAGATGTTGTTTCGAAACCGGCAACCATCGACAAACATACTTCATCGAAGAGTTCATTATTACTTAGCGATGCTTTTGATGAACCCGTTTCTAATCGATCTTTTTCGGCCGCAGCCACCATCGATGCAATCAGAGTTTTCGGTTTAATCATCGATTGTTGTTCTTCACATTGTCGTTTTTGCTCTTCTTGAATAATTTGCATGACATAATGTCGGAGAACTTGCAAAGCACGTTGAAAATTTGAATCAAGTGCCAAACGCAATCGTGCAATCCACAGCGGGATGGCAGCCATCAAAGCGAAGCGATTCGCACACTTGATAACATCGTTAAATGCTTGTCGAAGTATGTCACCATCTGTCGATGAGCCTTTTTCTAAATCATAATCGAAACCAATCATGGCAATGATGTTCAAAAGTACATGCTGACACTTGACAACAAGATCGGTATGAATTCTAAGGTCTTGATGAAAAAATTCTTCTTCGATGAATTGATCGATACATTGCACGATTTTATCAAAAAATGGCAGTGTTTTGCTCTTTCTGTACATGGGCAACATGATGCGAGAATGACGCTTGAAAACATCACCTCGAGTGGCAAGCAAAGCTGTAGGAAAAATTAAGCTGAAATTACGATTAGTTGTTTCAGATATTTCGTAGGTGTTTCGATCGGCTAAAATGTGACGAATATAGTCGGTGCAGGAGACTACTGTGATACGACCACGTCCAAGTTGAATTGCAAATAAGTCACCATATTTTGCTTTGAGTCTGGCAATTGACTCATGAAATGCTCCACGACCTGCAGTCCAGATGATACCTAAAACAATCAATACATCAGCATATAGACACACAGAGGAATAAGAGACAAGAAGAACATAGTCAAGTAGATCTTGACATGTTTTTGTCAAGGTTTTGCCTAAGATAAACGAAAAACAGAATACTTGCCTATTAACCATTGAGTTGGAATCCGGCGTGGTACATTGGGATTACGTTCACTAGTGAAAGAAGAAGACTTTGAATAGCGATAGACAATAAGCAAAAATACGGCGAGAATCACAAGCGATGTTGAAAGAAACATGTCTGCGATGATTGTATATGTATTCAGAATGAGAATTGATGAAAGCTGCTTCAGTAAAGAATTTCATTTTCATTTACCATGGAATCAAAGAAGAGAAAGAAAAAAAAGAATCAATGCCACCGTCTGCCTTTTGTTTACATAAAACATTCGAAGCGACATGTCGCTGTTTTATTTTCGGCAACAATTATTCATGGGCGTCACGATTGTCAACACAAAAGTTTCGAGCAGATGCATGTGTAAGACAGGACTCACCATGAGTCCTCATCTAAATGCTATAACTCTTGAGAGCTGAAGAACAATCAAAGCAAAGGCATAATCAAATAGCAACATACTGCTGTTATTGCCAATGAGTAACGATCCTGCGTCTATTGACGGATATGTTATTGCCGTGGAACAAAAACATTGATCTTGAATGTAAGTTTCGTTTTTCATATGTGTTTCTAAGTGATAGATTTTCATCAGATTCTCAGCCACGTAAAACAGAATGTTGTTGATGCGTGTCATTTTTCTATTGATGTTTATGGAGTAGAGGAGCAAAAATTCAACAGAACTGTATTCTTAGTATGAAAGAGTATACTGTTTTTTGACGGCTATTGTTTAACATTAAGAATTGAATCAACTGACTATGTATTAAAATGGTTTAGCGGTAGTAGAATTCTGAAACATAAGCACAATCGATTTATTGCATGAGTAATGCTATTTTTTGAACGAGACAGACTAGAATATGTTAAAAATGAACAAGAACCCTAGTCAAACATCTTGTAAGCAAGATCTTGGGCAAGATACAAGGTACAGAAATGTTAACAGATCTTGAAAATTTAGGTACAAGATAATCATATTATCTTGTACCAAGATCTTGAATCTTATCTTGGGTCCAGATAAGTAAGATCTTTTTTTACAGATATTTAGGATATTGGGCACAGATTAATAAGATCTTACGAATGGATTCATTAGATCTTGGGCACATATTACGATAAAATCTGTTTCGTACGTCGTGGTTTGCGATACAATACATGATTTATTCTGAAACTATGACTCGAACCTATCATAAAGCGAATTTTTTTTTCTGTAAAATCATATTATCACACTTTTTCAATTTATTTTCATTTGAATTATTCCTATCTCAAATAATTGAAGCAAGTCAGACCTTGGAATCTGACTGATTTTGAGATGGCTCGATCTCCATTGGAGTGCTTCAAGGCAGTCCTCCCTCGATGATTGATCGAGATCAGCATGTTCTCGAGTAATTAACATTCGAGAAATAGTTTTTAAAAAATTTATTTTGAAAATATATGCTTCACATGTTCAAACACGTTGTTTCAATACGGCTATGTATGCATAAAAAGAACGGTGAATGACTAGTCAGCACATAAATACTAATGATATCGTTCTTTTACTCAAGATCTTGTGAGAAGATAATAGTAAATAATGTCTCTTCTATGATCTTGACAAGATCCTTAGTGCAGATTTATCCGATATAACCAAGATATTCACATACATATGATCTTTTCCAAATCTTTTCAAGATCTTGCTTACAAGATGTTTCACTAGGGGCAGACAATAAGCAAAGTCATGTCTTTTGTTTTTCATTACTGCCTCTTTTCGAGTAAACAAATATTCTCAAGTTACGACTGAACGTCACATTATCTCTTATAGATTCCATCTATTAAAAGACGTACTTTAATTTTATTTTAACGATGTTACTGGTTGTACACAAGACAAGCCAATTGAGTGCATGTATTTGCATGCAACAAGATGCTGTAACTGAAATTTTTAATACAAAAAAGTGGCCATGAATACTGATGGTCACTTTCTAGCCATGAACTTGATGCCAATCGATATATTCGTCTATAAATGCACTAGATGGACTGTTATTTCGTAGTATCACATAATCGAATATAGAACTCAACGAAGACAATCTAAATTAGTACAATTGTTCGCATTAATGTTCATCTATTCAAGCTGTAGGTATATTACTAGTTTGAAATTTATTTCTATCGAGGGAATGTCTATAAGACAAGACGTAAAAGAAATGTACTTTTATCCAGGTTACACATTCCCTAATTTTTAGCAGCATCTCTTTTGCGTTTTGTTGATCTTCAATCAGTTTTATTCAGATCCTACGAAATCCTTCCAACCAAATTCCGTTACAATCTTCGCTGTACAAATGCCAATCATTTACGACGAGCAACGATCAATACTTCGTCGAAAGTCGTTGGAAACCGTCGTCAAAGCCCGAATCGGAAATCTAGTTCAAGTGCTGGATCATTATTCAGTACGGTAGACAAAAAGTTCCCGGATTCATACGAGCTGGTTCAACTCACTCACTTTTTCGGTCCAATACATTTGAAAAATTTTCATTAGATCAACGAGTTGCAAGATTTCATAGTAGTTCATCCTCAACGAATAGGAAATTATCAATGCCATATGTATGGACCAGAGATGTCCATGGCAGCGGTAGTATTGTCAAATAATCATCGCGGTGCGGCGCGGCAGCGGTCATTTTTTTAAGTAAACATCGCGGTAGCGGCGCGATGGCGGTAGATTTTTGGAGGACAATGCAAAAATGCATGAATTTGAATAGAAATTCAATGTTTTCAAGTACAAAACTATGAGATTCAACGAATCTTATCGATTACTAACAACAGTTCTAGTCCTGAACGGCCACAAGTCGTCATATTCACAACATTTTGCTAACAACCATAGCGGCATAGTTATTTTTGGGCGCGGTGCGACAGCGTCGCGGTAGGTTTTCTACTTTCATCACTGCGGTGCGGTAGCGGCGCGTTAGTTTTTTTCTTTTATTGTCGCGGCGCGGCAGTGGTCAGTTTTCAACCGCGATGGACATCTCTGGTATAGGCATCCTTATTCATACAATCAACGTGCTATCACTTTCAATGACTTTCTGGCGAATCTAGTCACTACACAACAGTCCTCAACGGGCAATCTCATATCGATCCTAGCTTTTGTATATTATACTGGTTGGATGAATAGAATCAGTGAAGAAAACCACTCTCTACTCATGAGACACTCGACATAAATATGATAAGACTTGTCTAATAGAAATTGCTTCGGCCGTGAATATAATGTTCAGCGCTTTTGTCTATTTTCTAATCTAGTGGAAGAGTTTCCACTTCTACCTGTCTTGTTCCAAGTTATAATAAACAGCTGTTCAAGATATCAACTATTTTTTCAAATTTCTTACCTTTATATAATATCAACTAAGACTTGGATGTGATACATTCCATGCCATTTATTATTTTGTCTCAGCGACAATAACAACTGATGGGCATAGTAACTGGAGTTGTTGTGCGTTCTACAGATAATTGATCTAATGCATTCGAAAGACTATAAAGAATAAGAGTACTTTCACTGATAAAATGGTAATTGTCTAGAATGTCTTTTACAAAATATCTCTGACTTTGAATTTTTAAAAACGAAACCTTCAGAGTGGATAATCCTGACTAATAGTTCTGAGTGGTATCTTATTTATGATAACAGATTAAATTTTATTGTATTTTCATTCGTAACAATAACGGCATGTTCGAATAATAAATCTTGTGCCGTGAATTGGTTATCGTTGAATCGATCACATAATTCTTTAGTTCGCATGTATTCACTTCTTTTCTAATGGAATCGATGAACAACCGTGTATTGTAATGACTTTTTTTTGTAAAACACGATCTAAAAGCAGTGCTGAAGTATAGGAGTAGAAAAGTGGACCTTCTTCCTCTTCCTGACAGACCGTGTCAGATGTTGTTGATATACAATCAGAGACCGTATATCAATAACATATCGTTCAATATATATGAGCTACTTGTTTATAGAATTTCTGAAGGATGAATTAAAAGGATGATGAAGAGACGTGTCCGAAAATACACAGAGCAGCAGTAGCTATAACGTGTTTCAAAATCTAATTCTGCAAAAATTACGCTAACATCGTTATTTAAACATCTTTTGAACCTAAGGTTAGATTCTACAAGTATGAGACAGGCTTAGCTACAACTTGGAATTCATACATTGCCTTCACTTACCTTCGCTAAAATTATCCATATATGTAAATAAATTCTCTATATAAACAATTTGAATAGGATATGGACCTTGATAATTTCTTCACCTACCTACATCCACACCCAACATTTCATACGACTTGGTCTTCCATGAATTAGATCTATGATGTATCAATGATATTATCACCTGTCTTCAGCGTCAATAATAATAAAGTATCATTTAGAGGATATACTTATGCATATCATACAATTAAAATTACTTATATTTTCTATCTTTTTCTTCTTCTTGATCTATTTTTATAGTAGATTCATGCTAATAAAAGGATAAGGCTTGCTTTAAGAGTCTGATTTTTTAAGTGTGAGACATTTTCTTTAATAACATATTGTATTGTTTTTTTATTTTATAACAGTAACAATGGCAAAGATTTCAAAGAAAAAAAAATTAGAAAGACCATGTCACTACGTTTTTTAAGCATCTTCATCATCATCGTCATCATCGTCATCGTCATCGTCTGTTGATTCGTTGTGAACTTTTTGACGTTTTAAAACAACTAAAAGAAAACAATAACTAGTTGTTTTAGACATAAGATATTAACATACGCCCATCTTCTTCATCACTGTCTGATTCATCTCCTTCCTCATCTTCTCCGTCAGAATGTTCAAGTTCGTATTCCGTTCGAACAAGGCCTTTTTCATACAAAGTTGATACGAAAGTGATTTTATCTTCGATAGTTGCCAATGGTAAAGAATCAATACTAATATATTCTGGATAAATTGTGAAGAGCATTTCAAGTGCAGGCAATGTTTCTTTATCTACGCCAAGTGTTGATAATGGTCGATCATGATAACTTCGAGCATTGTCTGTTGTATAATGTGCGACGATATTGTCTTCATTATCTTCATCATTATTATCATTTTCAACAACACGTAAACAATGACGACGTAAAAGACGAATTCGAGTATCAGGCTCAAGTTCTACAACATTACTAACACGGTTTAAATCACTATTCCATCGTTCACCTTGTTCTTGAATAGTTGTTAATTGTTCTTCTGCTGTTAACATTGGTGGTAATGCATCATGCATAAATTTTTGAGCCATTACATCAACACTATTATCCATTTGAATAGGAACACTTTCACGAAGTAATTCATCAAGTAGTTGATGACACTTAGCATGAAAGTTTGCACGTTTTTTCATAGGTAATTTTTTTGTACTATGAATAAAACCAAAATGATTGAGACAACCTAATGGTAAACCTTGACGAAATTTAACATTTGTTTTCATAGCTAATAATAAAAATAATATGAAAAATAATACTAGAAAATATTTTTAAAACGAACCATAATCTACTGCTTTAGGCAGAAGAATTTTGAAAAGATCTCCCCATGTATTTTGTTGATAACAGCTAACAGTAAGATGTAATGAATGAGCATCATCAAGAGTACGACCTTGATGAATGTAACCACGTGGCATATAAAGAAGATCACCTGCTTCAAGTACAACATCGATACATGGTTTGACATTCTCGATAACTTTTTTATCTAAATCAACACTTGATTTTAATGGTAAAACTTCATCATCATTAAGTGGTTTATAAACACGCCAATGTTTTTTTCCTTCGAGTTGAAGAATAAATGCATCGATATCATCTGAAAATAAAATTATATATGTGTATATATCAATAATATGATTTTGTAGACATATTTATTCATACCATAATGAGGAGCAAATCCTTGAGAACCAGGTGGTGTCAAATATGTATTTGCGCCAACAAGTGAACCAAAATATTCCTGAAGACATGATAATAATTTCCAAATACTTGTTGAATATGTATGAGGATTAAGAAGACGAATAGAACATCCTTCATTATATGCATCCCATACAACAGCTGGACGGGCACGACCTTTGAAAAAATTAATATCAAATTTTATTTTTATTCTACAATTAAATAAATATCTATCTAACAAACCTTCTGGATTATGTCGTTCTTTTTTCGATGTTGCCGGATTATAAAATGTCAGATCAATATTTTCTCCATATTCAAGTGTATTTTCTCGAAGTATATCGTCTATATCGCTTGTCGAAAAAAGTCCATTGTAATACGTCGGTTGTTTACGTTGAATAAGTAATGCTTCCCGTTGCCATGTTCGTTTTATAAACTGTTTAACTGGAGTAGGATCAATGAGTAAACAAAATAAATGTTCACCAAGAAGGGTACTATCTTCAATTGGAACATGATCATGAAGCCAAGCTGATAAAGGTGATTCATCTTCAATCTATAGTAGAAAAAAAGGTACGATGAATCTTTATCATACTTCGAACTAGAGCAATGAGTCTGCTCATTACTGTTTTGGTCTAGTTGAACTCTGAAAACTACTATCCATTTCAAACTTAGAGAAAGATGAATATTTTTGGAATAATTTTTAATAGGAATAAGATAGAGATTTACGGTTGGGTGTGCATATCAGATTTTATTGACTGGTTTTCTCAGAGTCTCATTGAATTTTTTAAAAACTTGAGGCTTTCATATAGGTTTATTAGGTAGATTTATCGTGAAAAGGTTATAAAAAAAAGTCACTTTCATTGCGAAACATCTGCCAATAACACGTAGAGAAATGTTGATAACCCATGATTGGCTAAATCTTGCAAATCGGGTTCACATAATTTATAGATCTTTTCTTAATGATTCTAATGCACTCCTGTAAATAAAAACTCTGAAACTTTTGCAATACACAATATCTTGTTTTTAATAAACTGAATGGCAGATCCTGAGGGGACTTTTCCGAGAAAGCTGCTATATAGGACGTGGGTGTGAGTTTTCAGTCCATAGTTTCATTAAAAATCATCAGAAAATTCCATTCTATTGTCAAGATCTTATCAAATACTAGTGTCATGCAATTGTGAAAATATATAGATATGAAGAACCTTTAAAATAGAAAGTTGAATATAAAAACCATAGGTTTTAGCTTACGTTATCTTTCTATCATCAATAATATCCTTTTATGAATTGAGATGCGTTTCAGCTGCGTTAAATAATTATTTCAAATAAAAATAGATCAAAATTCTCAATTTAAAAAAAATTCATACCATTATTTAATAAAAGTCAGTCAAAACATAGAATGGGTGTTGTTCAATATTAGTTGCTAGTTGAAACATTGTGAAAGAAATCTTCGTTCGTTCTTAATGTTAATACATATGAAACTTGACAGACTAAAATAGGAGTTGCTACTGCTATAAACTCCTAGGTTTATATGAGTTTTTACATCGTATACATTCACAGAAGTAAAATAATTAACTGTTTCTCAAAAGAACAGATTGCTTAATTGACATAGTAAGTCTATCGAATTTTGCTAATTAACTCAATAATTTTAAGCGTCCAGTCTGGTTCGGCCGAAGAAAGTCCTACTGGTTCCAAGAATGATCTTCATCGATTTCATAAATGAAATTAATCTCTTACTTCATCTGCTTCATCTTCATCTTCATCTTCGTCTTCGTCTTCATTAGTTTCACTGTTTTCTTCTAAAGTTGGTTTATCAATCTGAGAATGGCGAGGTCCCGAAACAAGGACACGACGTTGAGGATATGGTGTTGGATAAGCAGGTGATAAAAATTTCGTTTCAGAATTTTTTATTTTTTTTGTTGTACTTGGTTGTTCAATAATCTTTGATTGACCATTTGTTTCAGAAACTGGTAGTGCCGGTTGCAATGATTTTGATCGATTTTTCTTTGTTTGATTTTCCTTTAAATGACCATTTGTATTTGCCATTGAAACCCGTTTACGTTTACGTGATGCAGGTAATACTGAATCATTTTGAGGAGACAATGATACTTCTTCAGAGTATCGAGCAAAAGCTGAAATTGGACCTGACATCTGAAAAAATTTTAATATAGTTTTTTTTTCATCTGACCGTTGATGATCATGATTTATTAGCAACTTTTTATACAAATAAACACACAAAAAGAAAAGTTTTTTTTTCCTCTAAATCATTAACCAACAAAGACAAGTGGATCAGCTTGAACAATACGTTTGTAAAGTTTCCAAATTGATGTACAAACATCTTTCAGATGAGTTGAATTATTATATTCAGATGCACCAGAACATGTCACATTTGTACCAACAGAAAACGGTGTATAAGCTTCGCGTAAAGCTGATCCAGACGGATGAGACATATTCGATACACTCATGACAAGTGATTTATGGCTTGTCGGACCGCCAACAGTGCCCGGTGTTGGTACATTAACCGATGTTCGCTGAGAATTTGGATCACTACCACCACCACTGGCACTGGATGTTCGTTCAGTTAAATTAAGATTCGAAAAGATGTAATCCTATAACAAAAAATTTCAAAAATTTCGAACTTTCTATGTAATTCAATTTATTAATCTCGTAAGTTCATTTCATAATATTTACATACCAATTCAAGTGATAATGTTTGTTTCATCATATTCTTTTGTGTTTCACTAAGATATGTTGATCGCATAAAGAGTGGTACTTGAGAAAGAATGAGACTTAATAAATGTTCAAGTGCAAGCACCAGAAAAGGTCTAGAAAGACAATAAGTAAAAATATTATTTAGTAATTATTTTAAAACTAAAAAGAAAACCTATACGAACCTCTGTTGTACTAAACGTTCAAGATCACTTTCTTTTATACGAGCTGGTCTTGGTGAATTACTTTTTATTAGACTAAACTAAAAAATAAAAAATTTCGAACAATAATTAAAATTCTATAATTTTTCATAGATATCCCCAGGTCAATCTAAGATTCGAGTTTATCCTAATTTTTTTCTAGACCAAACTAGGATAAAGTGATTAGTAATTCAAGCCACAAATGACCAATCGAGCAGAAAACTTGATTGGTTTTACAAGCATACTGACTGTTGTTGTTTCGTCCTTGTCCTAAGTAATAATCATCGTTAATAGCACCTCGAACATAGAATTCGAATGCAGTATTTATCTATATTTCATGTAAATCAGCCAATCGTATACGAAAGAGTTCATAAAATACAGCACATCAGTCTACCAAAACATTCGTTATTTATCATTCTCTTGTTCATCATTTGCTCCAATCTTTACATACTTATGACATACATCATCCTTATACTGAAAATCAAATGCACAATTGGACAAATTTTTATTCTGATTTGATCTAGATGATTCTTAGACAAATCTAAGACAGATATACATACTCGCTCCATTTGAGTAACAATATATTGAGCACCAGTAAGCCAAGTACCAAATGATGGTGCTGTACGTCGTTCTAATGTTGGTGTATTAAATAAGGGCTCAACTAAATATTTAAATGAATCATAATCAATTGTTTGTTTATATAGTAGTGATTCATTAAGTTCATTTAATGGAATAGTACATGGATGAAGTGCCCAACAACAAGTACATAAAAGTCGTAATAGTCTACAGAGATTAAAAAAAAGAAAACAAATCGAATATTATAATTTGTATTGTTTGTTCGTTTTTTTTTGTACCCGACTTGAACTTGTTCAAATTCTGGTGCTTGAGAACTAGCCGGTTGAGCAGAAGCAGCAGCAACTTGTTGACGAACATTAACTAATCGTGGCTTTGGGGTACCTTCACTTGGTGTTACAGGAGGTACACTAGCAGGAGATGATAATATTGATTGATTAAGAAAAGTTGATGTTGGTCGTAATGAAGAACGTTGAGATAATTGTGAATGATCTATTACAAATGATTGTGATATCGAATAATCAGGTACAATATTTTCTTGATTTTCTAATTCTGATCGATATGCACAACGAACTTTTTTCTAGAGAATTTATTCAAAATAAAAAATGATTCCACAAAAGAAAACAGCAGATTTTCATTAATATCTTACTGTTAACATATTGTGTACAAGAGCAGAATGAAGAAGAAGATTAATTGAATCATGAAGAAGATAATTTACTGCTGCCTAAATTCTCAATAATGAAATGAAAACAAAAACAAATTTTTTCATTTTTTTGATTTTCTTACAATACAAATGCACGCTTCTTTATGATGTTTACTCATTAATTGATTATAGAATTGTGTTAAACATGCAAAGAATTGACAACATACATCAGCATTGTCCAATGATGCTAATGAAAATTGTCTTGTTACATTATGAAAACTCTTATAAATAAGAAAATAAAACTAAAATTAATAAGAAAAAAAAAGAAGAATAATTCTATCAACTAACTTCAACAATATATTCACTAGAAGCTGCAAATACATCTGATGCATTATTAAAATGTCGATAATCACCAGATACACTTTCCGAATGAACAAGAAAAATATTTAAAAGTAAATAAAGACGTATGACTTTTGACCAATTCATTTGAGATATTTGCTATAATCAATTTGAATTATTTCATTTCTTATACTTTTCTTTTTTCGTTTGTGTACTTACATCTTCATTTGAACTATTTGTTTGTTGTTGAATAATAAAACGAAATGTATGAAGTGTACGTGGAATAATATTCATCGTATGAAACCATTGAATACTGTCAGTCTTTTTTGTTAAATCATATAAAAAACTTAATATTGTATAACATACACGAAAATTATCTCGTTCCTAGCAGAACAAAAAAAAGCAAAAGTTTTTTTGTTTTTTTGTATAGAAGTAGATTTTTACTTGTGACACTTTATGAAATAGATCAATAATATTTGCTACTGTACGTTCTTGTTTTATATTTACAGATAAGTTTGTTGATTCTTCATTCGAGACAAATATAGATAATAAATGAAATGTATGAACTAATGCCTATAATCAATAGAAAACACACAAATATAAAAATATAAAAAACAAGTGCTAATAAGGTCACTTCTTTCGATTACAATATTTTCAGCAAAAAACCACATATTCGGAATCAGCATTAAATTCTGCATCCTATGAATAATAGAATTTTAAAAAAAATTTTCGATGATTCTAGTGTATTCACAGGCGAAAAATGAAAGTCATTTTTCGATAGATAACGCTACATTATCTTATTCAAGCTTTAATGTTGATTTCAAAAATCTAGTTTGTTTTCTGAAAATATTGTGGACAAAAAAAAAACATCTCATCGACATTTGTTCTTTTTTTTCAACTAACTTTAACAGCACATTTATATTGTGGCGTTGTTGATGAATGAATATCAATAATATCATTACAATAATCAACAAAATCAAGTAAATGTATAAGAACAGTTGCATAACTTGTTAAATCATATTGTTGTTGATCAATATCTAAAAACAAAAATAAAAGTTTATCTTGAATTAAAGGCTGAATAGAATTTTTTTTTCTTTGTTTTTACCAGGTGTCAATTCAATAAAGGTTTGAATTAAAAGAACAAGTGCATCTAAATAACAATATTTGACATAAATTGATACATATTCTGGTCCAAGAACACAATTAGCTAAATTAATATAAGTCGGTAGAATATTTAATGGTGCTTGAACTTTATCACTGTGAATTAAAGAAATGAATTAATTAAATATCTGATTAATACAATAAAATTTACTTTCTCCATTTAATAAAAGCATTAATAGTTAGATTTAGACAAATAACAGCTATTTTCATACAAGTTGAATCATTGCGAGTAAGTACAAGTTGAACAATAGATGCTAATTCTTGTAGCCATGTTTCACCATCTGGTAAAACCTTTCGAATACGATCATTCTATTAATGAAAAAATGTTTATAATATGTCTAAAAATTTTCTTGTATCGATTTTATTATCACTGACTATTCTATTTTTCATCTTAGGATTATTCTCTATACATAATGGAGACTAAGCCAGATGACTATTTCGTTTTTCAAGTTGATGAATGTCTTGCGGATTATATTAGATTTCGCTAACATTTCATTAAATGGAAGTGATGACTTATTAGAAACTCGCGATTTAATGTGTTACATGTGACATATCTTGCCGTAGGACGATAGCCTGACACGCTGATGTTTGGTGATTTTCATCCTTCTCCGATAACATAATTATTTTTTTGCAAACCACAAGCAAATGTATAAAAAGACATAAGAATTACGATGCAGACCTAAGACGAAGAATATACACCAAACAATAGAATCGTATATGAAGAAATGAAAAACAAATGACCTTTGTATAGTTTTTTATACAACGTGGAGATATACGATCGTTATGATGGGAACTATAAACTGCTCTATCTCTTGGAGGACAATTGTTTACAATCGCACTCACTTAATCTGAATGTTTGACATAATTTTCAAAAAACTTCTCCTCTTAAAGCTCTTTATCATATTTTGATGATGTGGAAAGATGATCGCTCGTACGCTAAAGAAACAAGGCAATGACAGAATCACTTTTTAGCTACTCTGCAAAGCTCAATAACTTTTTTGAATTCTTCTAACAAATATATTCACTTGCTCCATGAATTATCAGGAAACAAGTGAACTCTAATATCCATCTTCTAAAAGATTTATTCTTTTCTAGCATTTATAACATGATCTTGTGCACAATTTTTGAAATATTATCCAAATTATTTGATTTTCTATTAAATAAAATTTGAAATTCTTACATTTAAACAAAGAAGTGCTTTTGTAAAATAGATTACTGAAGAAAAAAAAGACAATGATAATGATTGTTCATTTAACATATCATCTTCAATATTTGTTTGAAAAAATGTCCGACAAGCCTAAAATATTCATACTATTTATTAAATTTAATCTAGTAAATAAATAAATATTCATACTTTAATCCAGTGAAGTAAACAATTATCAGTAATTAATTTATTTAATATATCATAGAAATCATTCCCAGTTTGATCACTAAAATAAAGTAAAAAAAATAAATCACAAACTACTTTATTAATTAAAATGACTTACGTAGTATAATTAAGTAAATGTTGAGTAAGTAAACGAAATGAAGCTGATACTGCACGTTTATCACCTATATCCATTAATTCAATTCGTACACTTGTATTTGATATTGATGTTGAAATATTTTTCCAAAAATTTTTTCTAAATTAAAACATACAGAATAAATAATAGAATTAATGAAAATTCTTTTTTTTTACATTTCAACAAAATAATCTACAAGTAATTGAGTATGTTGTTCCCAAAATTGTGTTATAAATGTTACAGTTAAAATAAATAAATCACTTGCACCAATATCATTTGGATTCTAAATAATCAAAGAAAGACAAACTATTGAAATATTTTAGATATACTATATACTAACTTGTGCACTCCATCGAAGTAATTCAACAATTGGTTGTAAAATTGTTGAGTTACCAAATGTTGCTGTTGGAGTTGTATTTATATCACATAAATAACCAAGTAATGCTGGTTGAGAATTAACACATACAATCAAAAAATCCAAAATGGCCATTGTTAAATCCGGAGACTACAAAGAAAAAGCTGTTAGTACAATTCCTAAGAAATGAAAATGTGAAACACAGTACAGTTGCTGCTGCCAATCATATAGAGATTATTTAATTCTATTTGTTAGGAGACATCTCTTCACTGTCGTTTTACTTAGTCCTCCAGAAATGCAATAATGAAATAGTTCATATATTATAACAAGACATTATTAGTATACAATCTGTGATTGTATATCAATAACGTCCATCGCGATCGGTGATGCGATGAGGAAGAGTGTCGCTAGAGCACCTATCACGGGAACTGCTATGACCGAGACAAGTCACTAACGACTGTTTGTCTTGAATCAACTGTACAATAGCATGCTGTCTATGTTGTCAAATATATCTATTCTTGTGACCAGTATGTGGCTAGTCAGTGTGTTTGGGAAACTAAAATGATGAAGTGGCAGAACTCTAACGTAAGTTAGGTTGGCCTTCTGTCTAGAGCTGCAGTTAGTAATAATTGTAGAAAAAATATTGAGCTTTCCAACTCGTATTTACGCTTGTTAAAGTCTGTACGGAAGTGATCGAAACTTGCACCTCTGTACATCAGTAATCCTGTCAGATCGTGTTTCACAGAATTAAAAAGAAATTAAATTAATCATGATAATTAATGATTTTACTTTTCTATTTTTGATGTTTTCTATAATGAATGTTCGAAATCGTTCAATATTTGATTCTAATAAAATTGAAAGTCCAGGTGTAATCTAAATGAAATAAATGAGGTTCATAAAAACAGACAATAAAAATTTTATTTTACTTTAGCTAAACTTGTTAAACAGCGTAGACAAATTGGTGCTTTTATATCATTAATATGTTGTAATAAGAAATCAATGCAAACTTTAATTAATAATTTTGATGCAAATGGATTATTTGGTGTATTTATATTTTGTTTAAAATTTTCTACTTGATAATCAATTACAGATGAAATAATTGACATAGAATTTTGTAAACATGATTGATATAAAATTCGATTTGCTGGATCGGATAATCTAAAAAATAGATAATAGAAGAAAAAAAACGTCCTATTTTGTAGAATTTACGTGGTATCAGTATCTAATGGTTTAGCACATTGAAGTAATGTTTGACTAACAGATGGATGTTGTAACCAACCAAAAATAAAAATCGGTGATCTATAAAATAAAAATTTTCATCGAAAATCTTGAAATAAATTCACATATACTTGTTTTGTTCATCTTCTGTTGATACTTTTACTGATGACGATGCTAAACAACGAATAATAACAGTCCATATTAATTTTAAACATTGTTCACGTATTGGCAACCATCGTTTTATCTTGATTGATTTTGGTAATGTGGAAAAAAGTAAATGAAAAATAATTGCTCGAAAACGATCAGTTGTTTCACTGATCTATAAAACAAAAAACAAAACAATTCTCAATCCTTTAGACGTAGTTTGTTTTTATTCATAACCTACATGTACAGTATCTCGTGTGGTTTCAAGTAATGCAATAAATACTGGAATCCATTCATCAGCATATTGATTTTCACTACACATTACTTCTAATCGACCCCAAAATGCACTATCAAGTTCAGGTAATCTATTTGAAGATAATAACAATAAACAATACATAAGAATTATGTGATTTTACCGAGCTGTAGGATCAAGTTCATTCGATACAATTGTATTTTTATCAACAAATGATGGAAATAAACTCGAATCAATAAATAAGACTGTTAAGTCTAAAAGAGAAAAATTTTTATATTAAAAAGAAAATAATTTATTGAAGTAAATACTCTGAGCATGTTTCATTGTTTGAAATGCTTGTATTAAAACATGAGATGGAATAACATTCATTTTGCATAAACTAAAGCAAAATAAAGAAGTAACTATTATTACATTCCTTGCAGAATTGTATTGTGAAACACGATGTATCTAATGTTGGTTATCAGAAGGATATTATTTTATGCTACGTGTTTTGCGATATATTGCTTCACTATCATTTTGCTTAATTCTTCAGCAATGCAATAAGTAATTCATAAGGTATAACAAGATCTTTTTGACTAATATCGATGAAGTTCCTTCACAAAATGTTGTGATGAGATTAGAGGCATCTCCCTTTGTAGAAAATTAGCTGCTCGATTGCTTTATGTAATAAAAAAAACTTGTATTTTGGAGTTTTCTAGAGATTCTTGATCTTTGAAATACTATAAAGTTTTTATTTTTCTTGAATTCTTGTTGAAAACAATTTTCTCTATTCAAATCATTATATTTTGATTCTTTATATGAGTTACCATTACAGAAAAAAATCGAAATACAGTCTGTATGATCAATTTTTAGAGTCACTGTATACTTCGTTTTATGCTACTTGTTAATGAGAATTTCTCTGTGAGTATTTTTCTTGAAACTTATTTATGAACCTATAAAGTATTGATTATTTAACATACGAAGAATAAACTTGTTACTATGGCAGAAGAGAAATACTTGACTGCTTCATTTCTATAAGTCTGGCATTGACTTCGAATTACTCGGAGCCCGATGTGAGGGCTCTATCTATAGCTTCAAGATTCCTTTTAGATCGTGATTCACAAAAAATAAAAGATTCATAGATGAAAAAAAAACAAGTTCTTTTATTTACCTTGGTAAGAGATAAATAATTCTTAATAAAATTCCATTAAATCTATCGTAATATTCTGGTCGAATTGTAATCAATGTTGATATACAATCAATAATAGCAAGTGTTTTTGTAAACATTGCAAGAACATTTGCATCTGTATCATCCACTATTTTTAAATAGAAATATATAAAAGTAATAATAGTAATGTTATTCTGTTTTTACCTCTATCTTGTTTTCGTACATAAGCAAGTGCTTGATCAAGTATAAGAAGTAATATTGCTTGTGGATCATATTTACAAGGCCAAATAATAAATTGTTGATTGAAATTATTTCGTATAAATCCTCTTGTATCTTCTCGAATAGTAATTATTCCTAAAAGCAATAAAATAATTATAAAAAGCGCTTTGAAATCTTCGAATTTGTTGTTATTCGTTTTTTGCAATTCAATTCATATATATTAAAAAACTATTGAATATTAAGAACTAAAGAAAAAAATATTCATTTTTTCGTTCATCTTATTTCAAATGTAAACATAACATGATATAATTTAAATGAATCTGATTCAAATGCAATCACATAATAATAGTGGATTATTTCGAACAAAAAAATATTCAACATCTCGTGTGAGTTTAAGTTATTTTAATTAATAGTCTTTTAATATACATTATTAGAAATATCAGTTTAATGTTCTCGAAGAAAAATACAGTTTTTCAAATTTGTTTTTAGAAAGATTTCAAAAGTTCAAGTATAAACTAGATTATTTTGAAAACAGCAGATTTCTATACAAGTGAAGAAAATTTTAAGGCTGTTGTGTTTTGAAGTTTTTTCTTCGATGGTAATAGCTAGAAGACATCTGAGAAAAAAAGATTTCAGTAGCTAAGACGATTTGGTATCAAGATTGGTATATCTAAAAATTCGATTAGAATTTCTTGAATGCGGATCCCTTGAAAATCAAGATTTTTCAAAACCAACTCTCTGAATCTGATCGAAAGCTTTTTGCAAACAATTTCATTCTATAGAGCAAAATGAGGCGTCTCCAAGCTTTTCACGACCCTACATTATCGAACTAGAAAACTTCAAACATAGAAAAATGACTGCGTTTTTAAAAGTAAGAAAAAAATGTTGTTGGAGCCATATTAAAATTGAACGTAGTTCTATTGTGTAAAGTCGTGAGCAGCTCGAAGACTAGTCATTTTACTCTATCGAATAGAATTATTTGCAAAAGGCTACGAATTGAATGCAGGAAGCTGATTTTAAGTGTCTTGGGTTTTTTAAAGACTCTCATTCAAAAATTTCGATGAAATTTCTAGGCACACGAATCTTGATGCTAAATTGTCAAGTTTTCCGCGCATGAATGTTTCAAAATCGATTAGGTCAAAGTAAACACAACATAGAAAAATTCCGAATCTCATAGAAAAACCCATCAAGTCTCAAAAATTAGTAGTATAATTGGTAAATTGTGGGTGCTAGGACAGTTTCCTACAATCTTGGGAGAATCCATGATATATAGTATCAATTGTGGTCGTTATTACGTTTGTTTATTGTGGTGCTAAACTAGCGCCCAACTGATCCGATTGCAAGTATGGCCTAGTTCATCCCTGCTTATGCCACTATTCAAAATATTTTTGCTAGTTTTCTTTCTTATTTAATTTGTGAGTTTTCTTTTAGCAAAAGAAAAAAAAATATGGTCGCCTATGTATACGACGTTCAAAAATATATCATTCATTAGCAAATAATAGTTCTTATCCATCTAATCCATATTATAATAATTTTAGTATTAATTATCGCCCACAAACAACACAATTACGACATAGACGTATAAGACGAAAAATATTTAATGGTGCTGGTGATGAAAAACTTATTCCATCATCATCAATCGAACAAAAACATATTGATTTTACTGAACTTGAACATATTTTTGATAGTGCTGTCAGAAATCATCTTCCAATTGAATTATATAAAGAAAAACCACGAACAAAAAATATAGTGGATGAGAATCTTCAATCTATATCAAAATTAGAATCCACTATAAATAATAATCCAATAGATACACGAATAGAATTATCAAATCAATTAACTGACGAACCGATTAAAAATAATAATCATGGTTTTATTTATAAATTTAAACAATATAAAATACTTTCAGCTATAACTGTTGTTACATTATCAGCTATGACGGGTTTTCTTAGTGTTTTTATTTTTATTAAATAATATTAATTTTTCTAAAAGCGCCAATATTTATTTTATTTTTCATATCTATTATTCAAAAAAAAGAAATAACCAAATTAAATATAGAAAACAACATCCTATTTACTCATTCACTTAGATGTTTTGTTTGTCTTCTTAAATCGTATATCTATTTATTTTTTGATCTTATACAATTTAAATGAATTACAAAGATAATTGAGAATTATAAATCAATTTATATGACTAAATCAATTTCATCAGATGATAATAATGAAATATCTACATTGATAGTTCAAAAGAATTCGTTAAACAAAATCGATGAATATTCATTGATAAACAATGACCCAATAGCAACTCTAGATAATAATGAAGTTTATGAAAAAATTCGACCATTAAAAACAGTAACAAAAACATTCAATGAAGATCAAGCTCATGGTGATGATACTCATATTGAACTATCAAAAGATCAAGAAAATTTATTGGAATTATTTTCACATGAAAATCAACAAAATGTACATTCATCACAAAAACAAACAGGTATTTTATCACTAAGTATTTTTCTTCAATCAAAAAAAGAAAATGCGTCATTCTTATAATAGATATTCCAACAGTGTCCAACGAATATTCTCCTAACATGACCATGCAAGTTACTGATAAACCCAATGAAGTACTAAAGTTAGATAATGGAAATAGAATGACTCAAATTTATCATGATCAAAAGGGTAATTACAATTTAAAAAAAAGTAACAAATGAAACCAATATTCTAGCGTCCAATCCGGAGTTCGATATGAATTGAGGTTATTGTCGATATTGAAGTATGGATGACAATTAGCGATGAAAAATTTGAAAGGGAAATCCTTACACTAAATTTCTGTGGAAAAACTATTTATTTTAGAAGTTAACAAATTGTAAATTACTTGATGTAGTATTTTACGCTGATTCCAGATATGTATTTATTTTTTTCTTAACTTACCTCTGTATAATGAATTTAATAGTTGAGGAAAAGTTTCTTTTCCACGTTACTTCCCATTAAGCAAAAATACTTAGTCTCTGCTTCAACATTTGCTGTATTAACCCTACAATCCGTCATTGGTCTAAACTAATCTGAGATTTGCCGAAAATGTTCCGATGAACTTTATATTGAACGTATTGTAATTGATCAATCCAAGAGTAGCTTGAATTAATGTTCATTCAAAGTAAGATTCAATATTAGCCTAGGCAGCAGAGTTCGAGAATTCTGATTCGGTTCCCAAAATATTACATGGAATCGAAACCATTAAGTCATTAAAGACGTGCAAAAATTTGATATCTATTTTGAGAAATGTTCACTATTGAATTGTTGAGATTAATGACACCATATATTACAGCATTTACGACATAGGTTTTTATCTTTATCTAACGACTTAATGGTTTCGGTTTTTTTTGATACCAGCAAACTTTATTAGACGGATCTGAGATTGAACGCTAACACATATTAAAATTTAGAAAAAGAACTTAATTTCGATGATATTTCATTACAACAACAACGATCACCTATTGATGTATGTGAATATGAAATAGATTTAGGCAATGGTCGCATAACAAAATCTATTTCATCTTATCAATCCGATGATAAACAACAACAACGAACAACATCAATTATATCAGCTGATTCAATCCAACCAACAACTACATCTCGAATACCATTCACTAATAAATTTTATAAACAACATATGTATCCAAAACAAGAAACCACAATTAATCATTGTGATGAATCGAATATTTTATTCAATTTACATGATTATGTACAAGAATCAGAAACAAAATTTTCACTTAGAACAATAACAATTTTTAGTATCGGTACAACGATTATTATTATTCTTATGATTGTCTTAATATTGTTTGTCTTTTGAATACATCGAATAATTTGTTTGTTTTTATTAAAATAAAATAAACTTTGAATTTAATTCAATAATTAACTTATTCTAATATAATCCTACAAAGGAAGGCTTCATATTGATAAAGAACTTTTGAGCCCATATTTTTCTTAAATGTAGAGGATCTATAGATTAGAACAGGTTCCAAAGGGTTCGTGCTAATATTAAGAATTGACTTTTTAGTGAATTTTCTCTGCATAGGTTCGGTTTTTCGCTAGAGAATTCTATTGTCGAGTTTTGACTTGAAAATTTTCTCTAGATCAAAATAGCAGTGCGACTAGCTTATGCACAGAATTTTAGAAGTTTTCGATCTAGTGTCTATAAGATATGCATCTTTCAAAATATGCATGTTTTACACAATATTAATTAAAAACAGCTTGAGGCTTGAGAAATACATACCTTGAAGGCACTCGATCAAAAACTTCTATAATTCTATGTATAAGCTAGTCGCACTAAGAACTTGATCCGAACAAATTTTTCAAGTTAAAACTCATTAAAAATTTAATAATTTCGTCAAATCTTAGCGCCAGCACAAATTCTTTAGATGATATTCTAGTTTATCGATATCCTGCGACTGAGCATAATATGCATTCAAAAAATTTTTATCATCTTCGGAACTTTTCCTGGTTGGTTACTTTGAAGAGACTTTTTTCTTTGCTTAAGTGTTATATGACTTTCACTATATTTAATTATTATTGTTGTCATGCAAATAAAATCGTTTCGAAAAATCTTGCTTTTGTTTTTTCTTCTTTTTATTTTGTTTGAATGTTTTAAATGCCCTCTATTGGGCATCATCGAAGTTATTCATTTGGTCAAAAATCCATTCATTTTGGTCGATGTGTTAAACATCAATTAATTCGACGATTTTCTTCTCTAACATCACAAGTTCATAATAAAAAAAAACAAAATGCTCTTTTACTTCTTCCACAAATTCATCATAATACTTTAAATTTAAATCGATCTGCTCTATCAGAATCATTACCAAAAGCAAATGTTCGAACAGGTATAATGCTTACAACATTTAATCGTAATCAAGAATTATCTTCAATAAAAACTATTCCTCGTGCACCACCATTACCATCAAATTTTAATGAAAAAATTTCATCAGAAACATTAAAATCAACTGATTTTTCTAAAGCAATTAAAAATCATACAAGTTCAATAACACCATCCGGTACTGATTTATCACAATCAATGTTTATTCGACCAAGTCAAATCAATGAATCTTCATCAATTATACAAATGACAAAATCGAAAATCTATTCAAATCCTATTGCTAAACCTAATTTACGTAATCGTCGTCGAACACCATTAACACCTGATGTACTTGCTTTAACAAAACTCCGTCGTCCTGAACATATTAAGTCAAGTATAGCACAACGTATTGAAGAATTAAAACAAGCTTCATTAATGAATAATCAAATATCGGATGCAAAATCTTCGATTATTTCAACAGAAAAAAATAATGATTTACTTATAACATGTGAATATAAAAATAATGAAACTGAACGTAATTGGCTTAAACAACAAACACAATTAAATTCATCAATACAATTTTTAAATACAAATAATTATTTACAACTTAATAATCGTTTATTTATTATACGTTCCATTGAATTTATTGATAATACAAATTTACGTTTTTATGTTCAAGAACAACAATATGAAGGAAATTTTTTACTTAAATATTTTAAACAAATAAATATATTAACTATTTTAATTATAAGTATATTACGTTTTATTGAAAACATTTTATCAAATTTATCAATACCAGGTATACAAGTTATATTAAATTTAATCTATGTTTTTATTCTTATTACTATTGCAATTATTCTTTTAATAAATCAAAAATAAACTTTTCAATAAACATACCTGGACCATATGGATATATATTTGATACAGCTACACATTCATCATTATTACCACCAAGTAATGCTATATTACAATTTTGAAATATATGTACTGAATCGACAAGAATATCGCGATCAGATAAACGATCAGCCTAAATATAAAAAAAAAAGAAATTGTACATTTTTTCACATTTAATAATGAAAATACGGTTGGCTTTTTTATATAATGAATTTTTATTACAAAGATGGAACCAAGGAATGTATTTATTTGTCAAGCTAAATAATATCAAAATATTGATACATGAAATTTTTCAAAAAATGTGTTTAGGAAGTTTACACTGATGAGAATATTAGTTTAACTGTAATTCACCGTTTGAACTCATGTTTAGCTTACGAGGTAGTGTTAGTAAGACTAGAGAAAGTCTGAAAATGTTTGTATCAATGGGCGTTTGGAGCGGAGTTAAGACTATTTATGTGAAATTTCGATTCATTTTTAGGTCTGTACTGAAAAAACTTCGATTTGAAATTCAGTTCATAGATAAATCTCATGACCATTAGAATATCCTAAAAGTTTCAGCCGAAAAGACTTTTTCTTTGTTGAAATATTTCATTTTCGAATAAACTCGATTTTAATGACATATCTATTGCAAACGACTATTTGTTGTATGTTCTAAGGAGTATGAGATCTATTGATGGGCTGAATTTCAAATCGAAATTCCGTTGTTTGAATTTTTAGTACGTGTCTAAAAAAAAAGATCGAAAGCTCGGTAAAACAGCCATAATTCGGCTTCAAAGGTCCATAGACATGAGTCCTTTTATGCTTTTTCTAGTTTTACCTTATAGATTCAAAACGAATTTAAACAATGGAGAAAATCTCTATCTACTAATGATAAATATATCATACTATTTCATTGAAAGTACAGAAGGTCTATATCTTCAAATGACATGAACTTCTTTATTTCTAGACTTATCACTTGATTTAACTCTGTCGATACTAAAGAAATTGTAGAAGTTTCCTAACTTTTCTGCGAATTTCTAAGATGTGTCAGTAATTTCAGAAATCTGAGGACAGTTGTTCTACATCAATATATGCATGGAAGTGTCTTCTATATAATCGTGAAACTCGGATCTCGATATTATTCTGCATGGACGAATCATTCAACAGTTTCTAAAATGTCTCCTTCATTCAAGACATTGATACTTAACATCTTACATAATACAATAAAAAGAAACTTCGCTTTCTACTTACCACAGTATCAGCTTGATCTTGATTATCTTTCATTCGTAAAGCATAAAGTTGAAGAGTTTGTTCAAGAAATAAAGGAAAATAATCGTCAACAGATTGTAATTGCTCCAAGGTCGATACATCATTAACCTATAGATTAGAAATTTTAATAAGATTAAACAAAACCAAACGAAACTCTAATTTTGCATAATTTACTCTTCTTTGCATTGTGAAATTTTTTTGTTCAAAGATATCAAATAAAATATCTTTAATGCTTTCGTAGATTAATTTTCTTTCTTCTTGTTAAACCGACGAATATTTGATTCGTTCTCGTTTTAAACCAATAACAAAACAAGTTTTCTCGCCTCCGAAGTGTACATCAAAGAAAAAAAAAAAGATAGTCATCAGAATTTATCTCATTTGTGAATTGAACTATCATTTGATGGGTCAAAAAATACTTTTAATAATCGGTTTATTTGCTCTTGCACACGCCGGTTATTCAGCAGCTCAACATCGTGTATACGTACGTCTTACTGAACAACAATTTGAACGTTTACCAACAGATATTATTGTTCAAACATTAATTGCTTTTCTTGCTTGTTGTATTGGTACAGTACAATTATTTGGTAAATTTAAACCAATACTTATTACAGCTGAGTGGCAAAATAAAACTTGGGATACAATTGGTAATCGTCCATCATTTATGACATTTAATCATCGTGGCAAAGAATTATTTCGTTAAAATCAAAATTTTTCATTGATTCTTCTTTTTTTTTTATAATATTCTTTTCGTTTTTTTTTTGTGTGTTTGTCATTTTTTGTTTTTATTATATTCAACAGAAAAAAGGTCTTTTTTGTTTTTTTTATTTCAAATGGAAGTGTGTGTTGATAGTTTTGAATCAGCTTTAGCAGCTATACAAGGTGGTGCTCAACGTATAGAATTATGTAGTTCATTGGAACAAGGTGGTTTAACACCATCACTTGGTTTATTAAGATTAATTCGTCGTCGTTTATCATCAGAATTAATTATATTTATAATGATACGTTGTCGTCCAGGAGATTTTATTTATGATGATAATGATTTAAGTGTTATGGAAGAAGAAATTCGTTTATTTATAGAATCAAATCAACAAATAAATGGTTTTGTATTAGGTACACTTAATTCTGATGGAACAATTGATATTAATAGTTTAAAACGTTTAATACAATTAATTCCAAAAGATATATCATTAACATTTCATCGTGCTTTTGATTTTATTTCTAAATGGGAAATTGGTATTGATCAATTAATTGAACTTGGCTTTCAACGTATTTTAACAAGTGGACAAGAAGCAAATGCATATTATGGACGAAAATGTATACGTCAAATGATAAATTATTCACAAAATCGTATTATTATATTACCTGGTTGTGGTATAAATGTAACAAATCTTGAAGCAATATTACGGGAAACAGGAGCTAAAGAATTTCATGCATCAGCACGTATACGTAAACCATCAAAAATGATTTATAAAAATTTTCAAAAAAAAATTTCTTTAAATGGATTAAATAATGATGATGAAGATGATTCAATACAAGTAACAGATAGAGAAAAGGTTAAATTGATGATGGATATATATAGAAAAGTTTTTTGCAAATAAAACTTCCTTTTTGTCTGTTTTTTTTTGTTCTTCTTTTGTTGTGTTTCGTGATGTTAGAGAAAAAAACAAAACCTAAATGTTTTTTCTATGTTTTTCTTTTAAAGATGAAATGATTCGATATGTCTTATTAAATAATAGATCTTTGTGTTCGAAATATTCATCTTATTTATTATCATTTTATAAAAAACAAATCATTTCTTTAGCAAATTATCATAATGATTCAATTGAAGGAAATTTATTTGATGAAACAGTTGAAGAAGA